TTGAGGGGTGTTTTATAAAAGTTTTTTTATATACATTTTGTTTTCTATCATTCATTTTGAGGGACTTGCTTACAACGTACTATGGTTATAATGTACAAATTCTTAATGTCCCCCGAGGTACGTTGTAACGAAGTTCGACTGTACTTTAAGGAGTCCATGTGTCCTAAACAAGTAGGGGTGGGAACTGCCAGAGATCTCCTGATTCTATGATATGCCGATATTCGTTTGCCGATTCGATGTGTATCACGATTTGCAAAATAGTTTTTGCTGAAGAGCACTTCAGGTCTACATTTAAAGTAAAGACAAGAGCTGAAATGATACACGTATTCGTGCATTTCAGTTACGTCATTTTCAATTCAACTGGAACAATGAAATGAAGGAATGCATTTTCTGACAGGGGCAGAAGTTCACAAACCGGTGTCCAACACTGAAAATATTGTGCTAATTGTGGTTTTGAGTTGGTTACAGCTCCTGCTAGAGAGCTCAAAGACCCTCCCATGTAACTTAAATCAGTATTTTGGGAAGATTTCGGTTCCCCAATGAATGACACCACCATCACTGAAGAGAGAGTTGTTGATAAGACCAAGACTGTCTGTCAGCTCTATTATACCAAACTTGGACTGAAATGCATCCGTCATGCTAACCCATTGGAGACAAAGCAACCGGAGCGAGTTAAGCCTGCGACACTGGCTGCGTGGCAGCTGCAGTACGTGTTGGTTTTCATTTTGGCATGTGAGACGTGTCTCAGGTGCAGCGTACACCTCGCAGCAGCAGTGCAACATCTGGAATGACGCCTATTTTGCTCATGCTAGTAGTTCATAGCAAAAATAGACATTTAAATGGCGTGTTGATAGTCATACTGACGTCATACCAGCAACATTACGTAACTGACACTTCATTGTCTAAGCTTTATGTCGTAAGTCAGGTCAGGTCAGGTCAGGTTGGGGAGCATGCGCTGATGCAGCGTGTCGGCACACCCACCACACGGCAAAGTGCCTCGGGATCCCGTCCGGTGACTCCCCAGGCAGACACACGGTCCAGTCCCACCCTCCTGAAGTGGCTATCCATCTGCCGCAGTCAGGTGTTACGTGGGTTTCCCTTCGGCCTGGTTGAGCCGTTCGAGCCGGATCACCCTCAGGGAAACACGCCATAGACATGAAAAAATAGAAATATTAATTATTTTAATTGCATGTTATTAAAAGAGAACATGGAGGCTATATGTGTACTACAGTGGATATAAAAAGTGTACACACCCCTGGTTTTTGTGATATAAAAAAATGAGACCACGATAAATCATTTACTAAATTTTCCCACCTTCAATGTGACCTATATCCTGTACAATTCAATTGAAAAATGAACAAATCTGTTAGGGAGAAAAATATAAAAAATAAAAAGCAACCAATAAACTGGCTACATAAATGTGCACGCCCATAAACTAATACTTTGTTGAAGGACCTTTTGATTCAGTTACAGCATTCAGTCTTTTTGGGTACACACCTGCATTCAGTCTTTTTGGGTACACACCTGCATTCAGTCTTTTTGGGTACACACCTGCCATCAATTAAAGTGACTCTGATTAACCACAAATAAAGTTCAGCCATCCTAGTAGGATTTTCCTGACATTTACTCCGTTGCATCCTCCAGCAAAAGCCACGGTTTGCAGAGAGCTTGCACAGTATCAAAGGGATGTCATTGTTGAAAGGTTTCAGTCAGGAGGAGGGTACAAAAACCTCCACAGCATTAGATACACCATGGAACACAGTGAAGACAGTCATCAGGAAGTGGAGAAAATATGGGACAACAGTGATGTTGCTAAGAACTGGACGTCCCTCCAAAACTGATGAAAAGACCAAAACTGGTCAAGGAGGCTGCAAAGAGGCCTACAGCAACACTGAAGGAGCTGCAGGAATTTCTGGCAAGTACTGGTTGTGTACTGGTTGTGTACTGGTTGTGTACTGGTTGTGTACTACATGTACCAACAATCTCCTGTATTTTCCATATGTCTGGACTATGAGGGAGGGTCGCAAGACAGAAGCCTTTTCTTATAAAGAAAACATCCAGGCCCAGCTAAGTTTTGCCAAAGAATACATCATCTCCCAAAAGCATGTGAGAGCATTTAGCAGATGCTCTTATACAGAGTGACTCCCATTTTTTTTTTTTAATTCAGGGACAGTCCTCCTGGAGCAAGTTGGGATTAATGCTCTTGCTCAGGAACCCAGTGATGGTAGCGGCTGAGGTGGAACTCAACCCCATGATCTTTTAGTCTAAAGGCAAGCATCCTAACCACTAGACCACCAACACCCCAACTGTGTTAGGGGTCATAAGAAACTTCTTGGCCATAATTCCAAGGGGTATGTTTGGCACAAAAACAATGCTGTGCATGACCAAAAGAACACCATCTCCGTGGCTCTAGTCAAGGTAGAGGGAAATATGAACAGTTCCAAATACCAGTCAATTTTGGCCCAAAACCTTCAGTTGTCTGCTAGGAAGCTGAAGACGAAGATTTCACCTTTCAGCACATAAATTACCCCAAGTAAACATCTAAATCAACAAAAGAATGACTTCATCAGAAGAAAATTTAATGTTTTGGAATGACTCAGCCAGAGCATAGACCTAAATCCAACTGAAGATCTGCGGGGTGACCTGAAGAGGGCTGTGCACAACAGATGCCCCCACAATCTGACATATTTGCAGAGTTGGCAATTTCAGGTCCAGAAAGTAAAAATCCAGACCATAATTTACTTTGAACCAACCAGTTGAGTATAAAGAGTCACAGTCACAGAGTACTCAACTGGTTGGTTGAAACAAAATCTTGGATTGGATTTTTACTTTCTGGACCTGAAATTGCCACCTCTGCAGATTTGGAGCACTTTTGCAAGGAAGGGTGGGCAAGTCAAGGTGTAGCATGCTGATAGACTTCTACTAATGCTGTAATTAAATCAAAAGGTGCTTCAGCAAAGTATTAGTTTACAGGAGTGCAACCAGCATATATATTTTTCCCCATAACAGATTTGTATTTTCAGTTGAGTTGTACAGGTTATAAGTTACATTAAAGGTGGGAAAAATGTTATTTATCATGGTCTCAAGGGTGTGTACACTTTTTATATCCACTGTACCTTGTTAGAGCAGTAAACCTAGTGTAGGCTGTAATTATATTATGTCTATAAGTACAACATTGGCTGAACACAGTAGTTTTTAGGTGTGCCATCTCTCTCGTTCTGAACGAGGGTAAACGAAAACCTCGTAACTGCCTGCCTGTTAGAACTGGTCAACTTTATGGCCTTTACTTTTCTAAATCAAACAGAAAGTAACAATGCATGGGTGTGTTGGATGGTTGCTGCAAATACTGAGGTGACTTTGAGTGAGGTTTTGAAATGGCAAAGCTGACTGTTTCAAAGGCACAATGTAGGGTTACACCAACATAAAAATAATCCATACATCCATCCATTGTCCAACCCGCTTATCCTACTGGGTCGCGGGGGGTCCGGAGCCTATCCCGGAAGCAATGGGCACGAGGCAGGGAACAACCCTGGACGGGGGGCCAGCCCATCGCAGGGCACACATAAAAATAATTTAAACATTATTTTACTTCAATTAAAGATAGTATTTTTCATTTTGTTTTCACTGTGAGATAAAGCTAATTGACCATAAACACATATTTTTTTGTAACGTTTTTTATTAATGTTTATCAAAGGTGCCAATAATTCTGGAGGGTACTGAATCGCCACTTGGGGTCAAGTTGGGGTCAAGTTAGGGTCAGGTTAGGGTCAGGTTGACCCTGGCTAGAAAACCAGTGGTATAGTCTTCATAAGTTTTTGGTGCATGATTGTGGATTAAAAATAAAACAGAAAATGTAACGAAGAATCACTTAAAGTGCAGTTGTGCAATCATATGGTTATAGTACAGGAAAATGGGCTTCACTTCTGTTCACTTCTGGTAATGCAGCACAATTGTCAGAGTGCTGGACCGTAATGAGAGAATCAATCAAGTATAACAAACAGAGGTCACACTTTGCTTCAGTCCAATTTTATTAGACACCGTCACATTTTCAGCGTAATGCCTTCTTCACGTTGGGTCACTACGTACGATATGCCAGGGGCACCACATAATGTCGGAAAATGGATGGATGGATAGAGATATGGCCAAAAGTGGAAACAAATGTAACAGAGGTATTAGGGTCATTAGACCGTGCTGTGCAGTTCATCATTTCAGAGCATTCAATATTAAATACTCGATCAAAGCAGACACGAACTAATGCATTACTATAACTCCTGCTCAAGAATCTCTCACACAACTCTCCACTTGCATCTCAAACACATCATCCCTGTCACAAATACATATTACCGATTACTTTTGTTATATCGTGTATATAATGATCTACAGTTCATTATATATATAGTTCAATCTACAGTTAACCCACTTTTTTGCGCTGTGGCCTGCTGATGCCCTGGTGGTGACCTTTACACTTGTTCTGGTATCATTGGTTGTCCCACAGGGATGAGTCTTTTTGAACTGGGAACTGCACGTGGTCAGTAGCTCACAGAAGAAGGTATTACGCCAAAACGCGTCTGTTTTGTGTAAAGACGTCTAATAAAATCAGATTGAAGCAAAGTCTGACCTCTTTTTGTTATGTTCAGTCATATGGCCAAAGATTAGCAGCATGTTCGGCTAGCATCCGGTACAAGGGTGTCCTCCGCCGTGTGCTTCTTGGGATATTCTGCAGGTCATACAGGTGAACCTGATGACTTTATGGGAAAGGGTGAGTTTATGGGAATTTTTTTTATTAGTTTTTGATGACTGGGGATTCACTGAAGTAAAAGTGAAACTGAAGCACGAAAGCACATAAAAGAAACACAAAAATATCAGGTGATTTTCGTTTTGACCTAAAAAACGCATCAGATTGTTTTCTACTGATCACTGCTTGGGACCGGATTACTGACTCACATGTGTTCAGACGATCACCGCAACAGGAAGTATGAGTATGAGTAGAGTATGAGTATGAGTATGAGTATGAGTATGAGTAGTGTAAGGTCTGGGGCAGAGGCCAGCAGGACTGCTGACAGCTTGTGAATAAAACATCATTGGTTACATTTTGGGCAGTGACCTTCATCATGGAGAGCAAGGTATCTGACCATGCATGTATTGCTAAATAGTCTACAGTGAAATACAAATTTATTTATTACTTATTTACATATTTATTACTTTTATGATGGTGGTAATAAAAAGAAAATAAGAAATAATACAGAGCAGAATATCTTTGTCATTCACAATGAAACTCTGTATGAGTTCTCCACCGATACTACAAAATAGAATAAAATATTCTTAATAACTGGTGAAGAATAAATTTGAAGAGCAGTTGTGTAATTGTGTGGTTAAAGATTATCATCCTGCTTGGCTGGCAGTCTGTACAGGACGTCACCTGCTTCTTGGGGTAATTTGCAGATAATATAGATGGATGGAATCTTGTGACGTTGGGTTTACAAGAAAACACAGCACTTCAAAATAACAGGGAAGGATGTTTGACCTTGTTGCATAAGTGTTTGTGTGTGTGGTCATCTATATATTACGTACAAGTGTGGATGTGTTTGTTTAAGGCCTGGGAAAATGACCACCGTGTTGTACTTCTGTGTGTCACTTGCATCACGGGGACATGAGTGTGTATCACTTATGGAACAGGCATCCATAAAGCTGAGAACTTTTAAGTTCTAAGTGCAGCCTCCATCTTTCTTTCACTGGGTTCTAGAATGGGCCTTGCTGATAGAAAATGTACATCTGAGTATTTCTGTTCTAAAGAGTCATTACCTGTCTGTAATGTCAGGGTCTGGCCATGTGACATCTGCAGGTGATGCCCCCATAATCTCAGTCATTTTCTCTCACTTGTCCTGTACATGCTGTGTGTCACACAGGTCACGCAGATGGGCAGCAGGTCCGCAGCGCCATTCCACGCTGCCAAGCCCCCTCCACCGCCACCGCACCCACGGTAAATACACGCCAGCTTTCTGTGTCCCTGTTAAACCCATGAGATGGTGTCTGACCATTTGGTTCCCTGTAGCAGCGTTTCTCAAACCGTTCCTCGGGGGCCCCCAGACGGTGCACATTTTGCTCCCTCCCAGCTCCCGGGAGGGAGCAAAAATGTGGACTGCCTGGCAGAGAGCCAAGAGGGAGCAAAAGCATGGACTGTCTGGGGGTCCCCAAGTATCTGTTTGAAAAACACTCCACTGTAGGATTTAAGTGTTTTTAAAGGTGTCGGATTGTGTCTGCCTCATTAAGGATGGTGAACTGTGATCATATTATGACTTATTCTCCATACTTACTTTCCTCAGACCTGCACCGATACCTCATCTAGTCCCTCAGAGGCCTGCTCCACTGCCTCCAACACAGTGGGGCAAGGAGGATCAGTGGCAAAAAAATTCCTACGACCCTTGACCTTTCATGACATGTGCCAACTGAGAGACGAGTCCTCAGACTGGGCTTGAGTAGCTGGAAGCAGTGAGAAGTCTGAGTGTCTTCACCATATTGGGAATGTGCCCCCCCAGGCTGGACTAAACACCGGAAACACCTGCCACAGTATCTGCTCGCAATAACTGTGTAGCACACGGTGCCTCGGGCCTCATCCCAGGACTCAGCAGCTGCCTCACGCAATCTTCCACAAATGCCAAGACGCATGGATAAAATGTGTGTATATAATGTACAGTGAAAAAGTAATTGCACCCTCTGTGAATTCTGTAGTTTTATATATCAGGACATAACATAAAATCATCTGGTCCCTGTCAGGTCATAAAATTAGATAAATCTAACCTCAGGTGACATAAAACCAATTCCTCTATGTCAAAAAACCCAAAAAAGCCAACAAGAAGAAGCCATGGAAATTAGCGGGAGAACATTTCAAACTGGATTTAAGGAAGCACGTCTTTACACAGCGTGTAGTCATAGTATGGAATAGTCTTCCTGATAACGTAGTGCAAGCTGAATCCTTGGGTTCCTTTAAATCAGAGCTAGATAAGATTTTAACAACTCTGAGCTATTAGTTAAGTTCTCCCCAAGCGAGCTCGATGGGCCGAATGGCCTCCTCTCGTTTGTATAGTTCTTATGTTCTTATGTTCATGTGTGGAAAAGTTCATCCCATGATTCAGTAACAAGAAGAACCACCTTTAGCAGCGATAAGTTTAAGTAATTCTTTTCTGCATGTTTATTCAGTTCAATTTAATTTATATACATATAGCACCTGCCACATCAGAATTGCTTCAAGGAGCTTTACATGGGTGTAATCGCTGCATCATTTATACAGAGTAATTTAAAAACTGGGAAAAAAGGAAGACAAAGTTGGGTGTTGTCTGTTACCTGTTATCTGTGTCACGACAGAAAACACTCAAGTTTCTTGTTTTGGAAGAATTTTGGTCCAATTTCCTTACAGCTTCAGCTCATTGGTGTTTGAGGGAATTCCTACTGGCACAGCTCCCTTAAAGTCCAGCTTCAGCATCTCAGGGGACTTGAGTCTGAACCATGACTTGGCCATTCCAAAACCCAGACTCGTTTCATATATTATGTGTTTGTGATCACTTTCTTGTTCCATGGGCCAATTTCAGGCCGGCTTTAGCTGCCAGACAGAATGGCCTCAAATTTTCCTATAGAATATTACAGAATTAAGAGGATTTTTTTGGACAGTACAGACTTTCCCTGGCTACCTTTCCATTATACTTCCATTACACTTACTACATACTTAGAGTAATGAACTCAAATGCCTAACGTGCTAATTTTTGCTGAGAATTAGGTTGAAACTGCTGGGATGTCCATTTCTGGGAAGACAGGTGACTGTCTTTGTGTAGAATATTCCTCATTTTAAATAATCTTTTTCGCTGTTTAATCCATCCCAGATAGATGAACAGAAACAGTTGCTGTTTTGAGATCATTGCTGATGTCTTTTCTCCTTAACATGATCTTGACACAAACCTGAATGCTCCAGACCAGCAAACTGCCAAAAGTTCTGCTTAAATAGAAGTGGTCACACTTTCTAATGATCAAACAATGAAGTGCATTTCATTAGCAGTGCTTAGCCGCCAGTTAGCTTCTCAGTAAGGCTGCACTTACTTGTTCCCCCCAAGGCTTCTACATTATGGCTTAGATTGTGTTTGTTAAGCAATGACATTTTGAAATGCGTTGCATTTTGTTATCTGCAGTTAGAGATATCATTCTGTTTATGCAAAACCACAGAAACAAATGAGCACATCCTTTCACTTTCACATCACTGTAGTTTTTTATTGAGAGGATGTTCAGCAGTTTTATGATCCTTACTTGATGTAGAATGTGTTGGTCTGGTTTGAATTTTCTTTCTTATTTGAAATGTTGATATTATTACTCCTACCAGCCATCAGTGATTTTTTTAAATAATGTTTGAGTTCCCACATTTTGTATGTATTTTAATGCATCATTGCTGAAATACTATCTACTCATTTGCTTATGTTTAAAAGAAGTATCCATTTGTGTTTCCTCCCAAACTGCATCTGGGATCCTGACTCGCATGTAACCAGTAATACACCCAGCAAGTGACATTATGGTTAATGGCTTAGACTGTCAAACAAAGGGCTGTTTAAATCGCATAGAATCCTTGTTTAAGTATTAAGCATCATACATGAGATTACAATTCAGGAGCAATATCAGGCTGTATGAATAGAGACACACCGTTGTGATTTGGATAAATGTGTTTTCCAAGCACTCAAAACAGTAATATGAGTATTATTATTATTAGAAGTAGCGATCATTGCTTCAGTAGAAATTACTCTTGTCGTACTGTCATTCAGTCAAACTACTGACTGTACATGAAGCTCGTACCCCATAACCTACGAGTATCATCATCATGCAGTTACTGGCGATTTGTGCTTTTATTGACCTAGCAGTGACTGAGTGACCTGAGTGTGGAGTTGCATGGCGTGACCCTGCAGGACTTTCTATACCTTATTCCGTTCATAGAGACTGGATGCTTTTGGCATTGGTGCCTTTGTCACATGATGCCAAACACCATTTTAAACATAGACAAATAAAGTTCATGTTTATAAAGACTTTGTCATGTTAAAATGCACAGAACCAAAGATAAAACTGCACTGTTTGGTTTGATGAAAATAAAATTTATGCCTTCTGTTTTATAATAATAATAAGTTTTATTGTGCAGACACATATGTAAATGAAAAGAAAGTGGTGGCTTCACCAGAACATGTGGGACGTAGGGGGACTGGGAAGGTGGAGGGGGGGGAATATGCATAGATTGGATATCACTGATGCGGGTGCTGCATCGGTCTGTCATGGTGAAGGAGCTGAGCCAAAAGGCAAAGCTCTCGACTTACCAGTCGATCTACGTTCCTGCCCTCACCTATGGTCACGAGCTGTGGGTAGTGACCAAAAGAACTAGATCGCGAGTACAAGCGGCTGAAATGAGTTTCCGCAGGGTGGCTGGGCTCTCCCTTAGAGATAGGGTGAGGAGCTCGGTCATTCGGGAGGGACTCAGAGTAGAGCCGCTACTCCTCCGCATTGAGAGGAGCCAGATGAGGTGGCTTGGGCATCTGGTCAGGATGCCTCCTGGATGCCTCCCTGGAGGTGTTCCGGGCATGTTCCACTGGGAGGAGGCCCCGGGGAAGACCCAGGACACGCTGGAGGGACCATGTCTTTCGGCTGGCCTGGGAACGCCTCGGGATTCCCCCAGAGGATCTGGATGAAGTGGCCGGGGAGAGGGAAGTCTGGGTTTCCCTGCTGAGACTGCTGCCCCCGTGACCCGACCTCGGATAAGCGGAAGTTAATGGATGGATGGATGGATGGACATATGTACATTATATATAAATTAGACATATATACATAAATTAGACATACAAATAGCATGACTCAGTGCAGTACTGAAAGTCTGGGAGGGAGATTGCACAGTGCCCTGGGGGGCTCTGACGTTACTTATCAGATGGTCAGACACACAGTCCTGAAGTCTCACAGACTGTGGCCTGCCTGTCAGATAGCCGCCAATCCATGTGACCAGGGAAGCCTCCACCTGTATGTCCTGCAGTTTAGCCCTAAGCAGTCTGGGCTTGATGGTATTGAAGGCACTGGAGAAGTCAAAGAACGTGATGTGTACTGGTGTTGGGTCTGTCCAGGAAGGAGTCTGCCTTCTCCAGCAGATATATGATTGCATGCTTCACACCCACACAGGGCTTGTATGCGAACTACAGAAGGTCTTGTGATGAGTGCGCAAGTAGTCTGAGGTATGTCAGGACCAGTCTCTCCATGAGCTTCATTATGTGAGAGGTTAATGCTATGGGCCTGTAGTCGTTCGGTGGTACAGAATGTCCCTTCCTGGGCACTGGAACCAGGAAAGATGTTGTCCATAGCACTGGGACTCTCTGGAGGTACAGGCTCAGGTTGAAGAGGTGCTGAAGTTCTCCACATAGCTGGCAGGCACAAGCCTTCAGCACACGAGGGCTGATACCATCTGGTCCAGCAGCCTTCCCCTGGTTGTGCCTCTCCAGCTCTCCTCTCACCTGGCTGGCTCTGATGTCTAGTCCAGTCTGGCGGGCAGGGGGATGTGGCAGAGTCTGAAGTAAAGTCTGTAGTGGGTGTCAGAAGGGGGTTGGGGGTGGAGGGAACATGGGCGGAGCAAAGTGGTGTCTGTTGCAGGAGTTGGTGGCAGGCTGTGGGGGATGTGAAAGTGTCCTAGAGTTTTTACTGAAGAGCAGTAGGGGGCCACTGGGGGTGAGGGAGCTAGAATCAAACCTGTTCAAAAACTGGTTCAAGTCATTTGCTCGTTGTACATCCCCCTCAGCTGTACCCCCCCCCCCCTTTCTTCTGGAAGCTGGCGATCTCTCTCATCCCCATTCCATACGTCCCTGACCGTCTTTTTCTCCAATCTCTCCTCTATATAACCATATACAGAAATAACACATTACACTGCATTGTTCCATTTCATTTGCATTTTGCAGTTATTTCTATTACTGATAGCCATTATCGAAGGTAAACTCAATGTAGACAGACAGGGCTCGCAGTAGCCACAGGTGCGACATACATGCCACGCAGTCAGTGTGTCCTGGGCCTTAATCTCCCCATGGCATTTAAGGCAGTTCAGTACTTCACAAAGTTTTACTGAATTAACTTATTTAGTAACATACAGTAGTTGCTTGTAATAATTACGAGCAATGACATCGGTAGAGGCGTAAGTCAGTATATCTACTATTCTTTTACAAAATGGCACACCCCAGATGTTGAGACAAACCATTGTGTGAGTACTTTTACTTAAAAAAATTCTTTAAAGTAAATTTAAAAGTAAGTACTTAGTACTTTCACTTAAGTAAGATTGTTGATGTAGCACTTCTACTTTTACTTGAGTACATACTTTGCAGGATATTTGTACTTTTACTTAAGTACTAAGCTTCAGTACTTCCTCCACCACTGCTGGTTAAAGATTATCATCCTGCTTGGCTGGCATCCTGTACAGGACGTCACCTGCTTCTTGGGGTAATTTGCAGATAATATAGATGGATGGAATCTTGTGACGTTGGGTTTACAAGAAAATACAGCACTTCAAAATAACAGGGAAGGATGTTTGACCTTGTTGCATAAGTGTGTGTGGTCATCTATATATTACGTACATAATTACACGCGTGTTACATAATTTCCCCTGTTATTTTTACCTTTTGTGGACATTTTTCGTTTCCCACTAGTGGAATTTTACAAAAATCTGTGACTGCAATCAAAAAAAATAAAAATGTTGAAAGTCTTGCATTTTGTTTGGTGACTTATGGTAAAGGTCAGGGCTGGGAAAGGGTTAATGCCCATAGAAATGAATGGAGAGTCACCACAAAGATACAGATAATTTATAATGTGTGTGTGTGTGTGTGTGTGTGTTTTAGGTCTGGAAATATCCCTGACTGATGTATCGGTTATACAGATTTTTACTAGGCATGTAACGATGAATCGTGAATTGGTTAAAAATCGATGTAAATTTATAACGATTTAAACCGACTGATGTGGAAAATGAATTGCTACTTTAGGAGTACTTCACAGTACTTTAACAAAAAAACTGGTGTAATATTACATTTGACCGTACGCGAGATGGCGAGCGAATTTGAAATTGAGGTCACACCACTGGGCGGCGCGGTGGTGCAATGGTTAGTGCTAATAGCTGAACATTACTGTCCACCTGATGATCTCTTCACCACTTGAGAGCTACAATATTTTATTTATTGGACCAGCGGCATGGATTTCATTTACAATACAGCCGCACAATTTTGTAAGGCATGCACTGGCCAATCATGTAGCACTTCTCTCATAAATACTAATGAGGCATCTCCTACCACCCTGCAAAAAGGAAATTTGCCTCCCCCCCTGCCCCGCCGCACGAGGCAGCATGGCTGCGTCTACCAGCAGAGGTCTGGAGCCTCTGGAGAAACACGCAGCAAAAAAGGCTTGAGACATTTTCTGCACCTCTACTGTAGCTGACGTTAATGACGCAGTTTCAGCCACTTTATATTTTCTGTTTACTTATTCTGTNCCGCCCCGCCCTCCTGCACATAAGGCAACATGGCTGCGTCTACCAGCAGAGCTCCGGAGCCTCTGGAGAAACACGTGGCAAAAAAGGCTTGAGACATTTTCTGCACCTCTACTGTAGCTGACGTTAATGACGCAGTTTCAGCCACTTTATATTTTCTGTTTACTTATTCTGTCATGTAAGAGTGAGACAAATTATCGATTACGACTACTCTTACACACTGTAGCCTAAATCTACTATCCTCAGATCAATCGAAAAATTTGTTGTTAGATTAGTCGAATAATCGAAAAAATTATCGCTAGATTAATTGTTTAAAGAATAATCGTTTGGGACAGCACTATATGTGAGTAGCTAGTCACATGGCTATTTGTCAGCTCGTCACAGTATTCATTGGACACACATTAGGCTGTGTCTGACATTCAGTCTTTGATGAATTAAGTAAGATGATGCTGATTTTTTCCCTAGACTACAAGTTTTCTCTGATCCAGCCATCCCACCCAAACCCTGGCCAGGATAAGTGATTAGAGGATGGATGGATGGATGGATTGACTTAAACTTTTGTTTGTTTAATATTTGTATTTAATATTTAACTGTCATGTTTAAATGACACAAGCAAAAAATGTGAAAGCCATACCCAACCTCCCCTACGTCCACCAGTATTTTGTTTTACTTAAAGGCCCTGAATTTCACACTATGAATTAAAATTATTTCAGCTGTCAGTTTACTGGTGGCATTTAGCAGGAGGACATGGTCAGCATTCTGATGTTGAATGAGTGCTGATAGGCTGGCCCTTCCAGAATGGATAACCAGTCTCACCGGATTCCTCTAAAGTGATCTAAGCAATCTAATAATATCGTCTTGAGTCAGTTTCCGAGTTCCAGTCAGGGTTATTGCCAGACCATTAGAACTGTATTACTTACATGTATAATGGAAGTTTACAAAGAAAACCAATAAACACTACTCTGGCTTTTTAAATATCCTGCATTTACAGACAACTATTACAAATGATAGAATAGTAAGATACTTTTATTGAAGGTAATGATGGAATTCCTGAGTGATGATTCACCCTAAGTTTTACACCCACACTAAGAAAGAAACAGAAAGTGGCTCATAGCGAGGTGGGGGGGGGGTTCCACCAGCTCTTTCTTAAGTCGCCTTGTGGTGGCAACATGATGATATATGCATGATGACAGTGCAGGATGGTCTAAACACTTGTGTGCACAACCTATAAGCATCTCTGAACTTTTAGGAACCATGTCGTTTCATTATTTCCATTCCCATTCTTCTGGGTGTGTCTTCAGATGAATAACTCGATTGTGCATCCTGGTTTTTTTTTTGTGCGTACTATCACGTGGCAAGATAACCAGTTACATAAACATTTTTTTGGCAATCACAGGATGGGCAGGACCTGCCAATCATATGACCTTTCAGGTGATGGCGCCGGGTGCTCGGAGCCTGGGGTCCTGAATATAAAGCAGAGGAAGATACAGCAGCAGACATACAGACATAAAGACAAACAGACATACGGGAATAAAGTCAAACAGACATACGGGCATAAAGACAAACAGACATACAGGCATTGTGATCGCTACCATGGAACCTGGAATCCAACTGGAATCTTTCCACGTGTCCAGTACCATGGGCTTTGTCCTGGATGATCCAAAGGTAAGAAACATCACAATGTGTGTGTGTGTGTGTGTGTGTGTGTGTTAACTATATGTAATACAGTACATTATATATTAATCATACCAAGATGCTGTTGAATTCCAGAGTCTTAATTAATTTCCTACATCGGCACCAGGCAAGTGCCAGAGAAGTTAGCCGTTTATCAGTATTGCGATATTAGGCACAAATATCGGTATCAGTCACTATTTCCATGTCAGTGAGCCACTAGCCAGCTGTTTTCCAATAACTACGTTGGCTTTGGTCACGTCAAAGCAAAAGGTGTCATCAGTGCAGGACTGTGTTTTTGGCTCATAAATATGAAAATAAAACATGAAAAAGTACAAACGTGTCAGCCAAATGTGTAATAACTATGATATTAGTGGTTCTTTGCCTTCACAGCCATTTGTTTCTAAACATTTAATGCATGTTTACGTCTTGCATTAACCCTTTATTTTTATATTATATTATATTATATTATAATGTATATCGAGTACTTTGCAGGAAGGGATTTGCTGTTTCTATTTTCTATGTACAGCTGCAGTAAATTGACTGTAAAGTGACAGCTGCATGTCCTCTTGAGTGGAGGTGATGTCACAGCAAACTTTAGTGCAGATGATGGGTCACTTCATGTGTGTCGTTTTCAGACTGATCTCCCAGAGTACTACCATCCATGGATGAGCATCGCCATGGACCTCCCCCACCTGATCCAAACTCATCAGCTCTGGGACAGGGTCCATAAGGTAAGTCTCATCGAGCACCAGGAGGCATTGTGGTTAAGGACCGTGGCATGGCACACAAGTCAGTGTTCAGGTGTATTCTTTAAGCTAATTGTACAGACAGATATGGGAGTTTTTTGTATTGAATACCTCGCCAAGAGTTAACCAGGACAGCAGTGGTGTTAAATGGATGGCAGCTGGCAGAGATGCTGAGGTAATGTTGACCTACTGCAGCCTGTGTCTGTCCTCCGGCCACCAGATGCCGCTGTTGAGCATCACGCATCTCGAAGGACACAGAGAACAGAGGCTGGCACACCTGGCACTGGGCTTCATCACCATGGGCTATGTGTGGCAGGAAGGAGAGCACCAGCCAGTCAAGGTGGGTAAGGTGGGGGCCAAGAAGGAAGAAGGTGGAAAATAAGAGGAGGAGTGGAGCCATATGATAGTAGGATTAGTTCAGACTGGGGATGGTAGCAGGTGGAGGACTTCGGAGGAGAGATGGTAGGAGGAAGTGTTGCGAGATCGCTTAGTGTATACAACCTTAAGGAGATGGACCACAAGATTCCACAACCTACAGTCAGTCAGGCTCCTCAACAAAAGCTACCTGCACGCCAGATCCTGCTATAATTAATACTCTAGCCCTCTATTTCCAGGTTCTATATCTAAGGGTTCTATAGCGCATGTATGTGCTAAGGGTTTGTCTACTGTGATGTTATTTTCTTTGTTGTTTACTGTTACTCATCATCAGCTGCTTTATGTGTTTTGCATTTATTTGGTGTTGTGTTCATTAATCAGCATGCAGGTAAGAAATGTGTTGTACCAAGTTCACATCACAATAAATCATTTGAAATTAGACTAGAAAGGTCATACTTCACCTGTCATACCCTCATCTACCTGAGGTTTTTGAGTAAAAGAGTAAAAATGAAAGTGAGAGAGACGGCTTACGGTTGCTGGTGCTGTTTGCTGCCTGCAGACGCTCCCCAGGCAGCTGGCTGAGCCGTACTGCAGAGTGTCGGAGGCCTTGGACATGCCGCCCATCCTGCTCTATGCAGACTGTGTGCTGGCTAACTGGAAGCTGAGGGATCCTGCTCGGTCTGTTTCTCCATGCCCCCCCCCCGCCCCATATCTCACCTTTACTTTCTCTCTCTCTGTCCTTGTTTTCTCCCCCAGCCCCCTTCATAATCTCATCATAATCTGATCTCATACTTCAGAGCCATTATGTTTCTCATTAGTGCCATCGTGAATGTTTTACTAGAGATGAAAAGAATGTAAGGATTACCATATTCTTAAATGCTATTGTTATTTGTTTCTGTATTGTTTGTTGCTACGTTGTGTTACATGCCTGCGCTCAGAATGCAAAAAGCAGAATCCCAGAAAGTTTTCGGTTACTAATGTTCCATCTCTGCTCCTCTTATGTCATGAACCCCTTTGATCTCTGCCGCTCACCAGCCCGTTCGAAATTGAGTAAGTTCTAATATGTTAACTATTTTTGAACATGTGTGTGTCTGTGTGAGCAAAAGATCCTGCAGTATAAATGGTATGAGGACATGAACTACAAGTCATGTGAATTGGATAAAGCCGTTTAGTATAATAATATCATATCTTAGTATGTGCAGTTATAGAATTGGTTCTCAGTATGTGCAGTGGGCGTGGAAAAGGTTTCGAGTTTTGTGTTTTTATGGGCCAAAAGGAACATGGACACCATATTCAAGTTTCCTGGGGAAGAATCATGCAGGGGCTTCTTCCTGGTCTCCCTGCTGGTGGAACAGGCTGCATGTACAGGGATGGAGGTAGGATCTGTCCCCCTAGGAATGCCTGCATCACCTGACAGCAGGTGTATGCCTGTGTAATTGCTGGAGATGTCACCATGGTCTGCTGGGACAGCTGAAGCCTGTGGTGTTTAAGCTGTGAGTTAAGTTAGACATTTGCATTCCATCAGGGAATTGTCATGGCGATGAACTCCATGCTGACCCAGGACAATCGTGGTGTGCATGATGGCCTAGAGATGGTGAACAAATCTCTGTTGAAGATGAAGGAGGTGTTCAGACTCATGCGCAGTAAGTCTCAAATCACCCTTCAGAAGCAAAATTATCAAAGACGGCAAACCAAGTACTAGGTGTCATCATCATCTAGCGTGCTGTTGGTTACAGTCCTGGTCCGGGCAGTAACTGGACACCCTAAAGCAGAGTTAGCCCAGCTACAGGAGGCTGTCATTGTTTATCTATAGACTTAACATTTCTTCACTTTCTGTTCCGCCATCTTTGCTTTGGAATTTTGCTTTTCATAAAAATGTGTCTGCTGGAATTTTAATTGCCCTGTTTATTTATTTCTTAGAACATGTGGAGCCCAATGTCTTTTATGGCACACTGCGGATCTTCTTTACTGGGTAAGCTTCTTACGTTCACTGTTTCCCGTAAGAAATGCAGTAAAAAGAAATTCTTTGTGGTGACAGAAAGGAGAATGGGAAGGGCTGAAGGCACTTCAGATTCCCAGCACACTCAGATGAGAGTCAAAGGCACAGCCAGTATTTAGTAGAGGGCTCTTCAAGCTTCATGAGAACCATAACTCTGATGCTGTTGCTTTGTGACTGCAGGTGGAAGGACAACCCCGCCCTACCTGGGGGGCTACTCTACGAGGGGGTCTCCACAGACTCTCGGCAGTTGAGGGGGGGCAGCGCTGCCCAGAGCTCCAGCATCCAATGTTTTGATGCTTTATTTGGTGTTAAACAAATGGAAGCTTCAGGTGAGCCTGCTGAGTTACTGAAACCCTTCTTCTTATTTATTTAGTGAAGTACTGGCAGTAGTACGATCAATGTTTTTGATGCGTTAATGCTTGCAATTAATCTGGAAACCTTAATGCGAAATTTTGTTTTTGATGCAAATGAACCCTATGGAGTTTGCCACCGGGATAAAACAGAAATCTTGCCAGCTATCTAAGAAACTGAGTTTTTGTCATAGACACATAAAAAACACTAAACCAGAAACCTTGAACAATCTAGCAGTAGTCCCCAGATCACAAACAAGATTAATTCCCTAAATATGTTTTTGAGTCGAATTTGTTGGTAAGTCGGAACAATAATAATAGAGTACATAACAACAACAACAATAATAATAATAATAATAAGTCATATATAGGTAGAAACTAAGCATATTTTTAGAGCTTTGTTAGGAGAAGAAAAAGAATTTGTCATTGACTTGAGTGCCTGAGTCACAAAGCAGTTCTGACTGGCCACCCATTTGCAAATAACTCTATTCCTACGATAATGACATAATCCGACAGTTGTTATTGGGTCAAGAAAACACATGAAAACTCACATAGACAAGAGTACATGTCTGGGTTCTGTCTGCACTGACCGAGGAGAGTTGGTATCTATGTTGTTCTTTTAATGTTTTTCACTAGGTTTATGAGACTTAACGTTTGCACTAAAAACACTTGTACTCACATAAATTATGCAACTTACGTGTTCTGTGTTCATTCAAAAATGGAAGGAGAGAAGCTGTGGCACAAAATAAAGATATTAAAGCAGAGAAGGGGTATTCAAAAGCATAGTTGATATTATGTTGATATATATTATGTTATGTCATGCATTTCTTTGTTCCAAGACCACACATGTAGTTTCATATTCCAAAAAAACAAGCAAATACTACCATTTCAAACTTGTGATTAATCATGATTAATCCTATTATTGTGATTAACTGGATTATTATTACTTTTTAATCAATTAACATTACTAACTGGCAGATATTAAACATCTAAACAAGCAAGAAGGGCTGGTTTAGCTAAGTGCTATTTCGTAACATCCAGTACATTTAATATACTATTTAAAAACATGTTACTTGGGTTTGGATCCAACAACCTACTGTAAATGTATCTCAGCCACAGCTCTAACGTTCCTGTCCTACTGTTCTGGCTTCTTCTCAGCTGACAGCTACCTGAAGGATATCCGCAGTTACATGCCCCCAGCCCACCGGCAGCTGATCGAGGTCCTCGAGAGTCGGAAACCCTTACGTTCGTACGTGAGCAATTCTGGCGAGCAGGATCTCATCGACACCTACGACAAGTGTGTTAAGGCCCTGGTGGACCTGCGATGCTACCACCTGCAGGCTGTAACCAGCTATGTGTCTGCACCCAGTAAGACTGCATACAGGGGCGACCCCACCCCCAGGGAGGAAAAGGGCACAGGTGGCACAAATGCCTTCAGTTTCCTGAAGAGCGTCCGAGACTCGACCAAGAATGTCCTCATCAAGCCTGAATGAGGCGCTCTACACTCTGCCTAACCAAAGTCACACACCATCACAGTCACCTAACAGTTATCCAATCTATTTAAAGCTTGAAAGATAATTAAATTATATATAAAATCAATTGATTGCACATATTTGGCTCATTTTCTCAAAACAATGAGCACAAAATCCACAAATAGTTCTCAGAAGTGATCAAACCTTGCTCAAAATGTGACACTGTGTTCACCAGAACAGCACTTCATGGCAAAAAGCCCACACAATCTAGTAATGCATGCAGCTTATTCTTCACAAAGTACACACTTGATGAATAAATTAAAGACACTCGATGTGCTTTCTCCTATTTGGAAGAATGGTACTGGGGTAGGGGGAATTATGGGGTTAATGTTTTGTCTTAGGCCTTAGGCAAGAAGATGCTGCTGCATTCTGGGATTGTGGTTTGGCCTTAGGCAAGAAGATGTTGTGAGATTTGGGGATGTAGGAACAACACTTTGTCCTAGGCTGCGGGCCAGAGTATGTTGTTGTTGTTTTGGCGAAATTCAAGAGAGGAATAATGCTGGAGAAAACACACTGTAGAACATGCAGATCTGGTGCCAGTCAAGGAACTGTCCTAATTGGGAAGAGGGAATGCATTGGTTGGGTTTGAGAGGGAAGACTGTCATGCTAACAATGAACTGCACATGAGCAATTGGGAGGGGAGAACTCTGCTTTAATTCTGTTTGTGGCAATATGAGCTAATAATATGAAATACTTACCGTCATTATAGGATATCACAGGTGCATTTGTATAACCGCTGTCAGTACAAACAACATGTAATGATTGAACAATAGGTAATTAATCAATCATGTAATCATTATGTATGTACCAGGGAGTTTGCATTCGATCGATTGGTAATTGAGTTTCTTATGGTTTTGGAATGTACTCAGGACCCTTGCTTAATCGCAGTATCCGGGGAAAGGGTGCTACACACACGCGCTCGCGAGGCTCCTCACCCCTGCTTTGGGCCACGTCCCCAGGTCCAGTGGTAGCCACCAGTGCGGCATCTCTGAAGGAAGGGGGGGGCTGTCGATGTTAGCGGATGACAGGGCTGCTGGCAGATGTGAAACAAGTTGATGAAATCTGTGAGAAAAATGAATCGTCATTGAGAAAGACAAAATAAAATGGAATGGCACATGACAGACACTTCTGTCAATGAATAAAAACGAGACAAAAAATTTCAAGAAGCAATGAATTTGAAAGTGATCTAATCATAAATAGTATTTTTAGTTTACTGCAGTGGCAGTTCATTGGATAATGTTGATTTGTAAACGACGCATCCATATGACAGGCAGAAACCATGCAGTCTTGTCAATGAAGTCTATCTGTGAACTGTTTTGTCATTATTTCTATGTCATGGCTGGCTTAGGTAGGGAAAAACTTACTGCCATTTATACTCACATTTTGAAATGTATCCAAAATTTCATTTAAATAAAATTTATATAAGGCCATTTGAGAATTAGTGCAATGTTTCATACTACAACCTTTGTAACAGTTAAAATGTTTTCTTTGGGGATATGTAGAGAGGATAGAGGAAGATCTACCTGTGCTGCTGTGGTACTCTGAGATCATCAAGAGAAAAATTACATTTCTCTTTATCAAATGATATTCCTGCCTCTGCAGTGTCTTGGTCAAATTGAATTTAGCTCCAGCAACATACACATCTTCAGTCAGCTCAGCATTCACATGAAGTGTTCTTTGGAGACTGTGGTCTGCATAGGCAACAACAGAATAACATTACAAATCACTGAAAAGTGATACACAGTAGTGGATATAGCATCACTCTGCTCATTAAGGAATATGCCATGTCCTCTGTGACAGGGTTTGTCAATCACTGGAGTGGAATCTAGTGGTGTAGATCTATATTACGTAAACCACGGCAGAAAAAAATCACCAGAAAAATTACCAAGGGGTATCCCCCTTGTCGAAGAAATTTACTGACTTGGTGGGCTGCAGACTGTTTGTGATGGTCAATAGCTGGGCCCTGTGGTTGGGAATGTTGAGAATCCCTGCTCTGTTGTGTGACAGTCATAAGACTGATGGAATTATTCATCAATACCTTATTTAAAAATTTCCTATTCTTGTTCTGAATTGAAGAGATGGTTCTCCTATCATTAGATGGTTTTTCTATGACTTTTGTCTGGTGAAAATAGTTACTGTGTCTCCTAGACATTAAAAAAAGCCACAATTGCACAACTTTACCATGAGATTTACCCATTTTTGTTGTGAAACATACAAATATTTCCAGTTACAGTATACCTACTCAAAATGGCCCAACTTCTCACATGGTCATGACATTGTTAATGACACAAAATTACTGTTCTCATTTAACAGGTCTGTTTCTTCCTTGTCCTCTGTCTTATGTTCTGAACTGTATCTTGTATCTTGTTCCATTTTGCTCCACGACCCTTTGTGTCATGTTTATTTACTCAACCGGGAACTGAGTTAACCATTTAGGTTGATTGTGTTTGTGCAGGTCATGTGTGTTTTCCTGCATTAGCTCATTGTTTCGATTGCTAACTGCAGTGTTTCTCCAAAAGGAGCAGTTATGCTCACAATGACAGCTGTAAATTGATTAAAACTAGCACCACAGTAGACTTCCAGTCTGTCAGTGGATGTGCCTCTCAGTGGATCTGCAGCCAGACCATTCTCAACCATCCCAATACGATTTAGCACAAACTCCAGAATACCAGTGCTCCGTGAAATAGGAATTATTTAGTTCCCATTAAAAATTAACAGATTCATAAATAATGAAAATTATCATTACAGGGCTTGCAACATTTCTTAAAAATTGGACCTGGAAACATGCTAAATGCCATTCTGATCCTTTCAAGTTATGCAAACCAGCCACTTTGTATGCCAGAGGCAACATTACCTGGGCACCAGCAGTGACTTTGGGACACAACAACATTGGCATCAAGAGAGGAAAGCTTAAAGAAGAAACATTTGAGACAGTCCCTTCAGCTTAATGACAGCCACACATCCAAAGAGGCAAGTGGCTATTTTAATGTAACGCAGACGCTTCCTCCTTGGGTTGTGTCATTGGCTGTTTGTGCTGGGATTTAAATACTTTTTTCGCAACCTAGAAGAACCATCACTGCTTTCATGACGTACACATACACATTCTTCTTGCCTAAGGTGTAAGACACTGACACCAATCCCACCTCTTCCTGGCCCTACTAAAACTTTTCTTTCCCATTCTCCTCTTTTGAACACACAAAATCCCTTGTGCTCAGAGAGATAACCAATGAGATTGTTGGCAAATAGAGGAGGCAAGACCAAGACATCTGATTGGTTGGTCCTGCCTCCTCTAGTTGTTGGAATCTACCTTGTGCTTCTTCCAAGCGGATATTGGTCAGGTCCGGTTGCAGCCTGCTTACAGTGTCAGTCACCTGCAGGTAGTCATTTGGCTCTCTGTCCTCCTCTGTGGGCAGCAATGTGACAGGATCCAAAGTAGAACAACGCCCTAGCGTCACATTGGCCAAAGTTAGCAACACATTTAGGTAGCGCATGGCTCGTTGAGTTGGGATGTACCAGGTATGAGCTCCCCATCACTGCTTCAGCTGTTGGAGCTACAGCTCTAACACAGGGTGGCAACGTCCTGACCACTGACTCCAGTTGCATTGAGTAGTATGTGACAGGTCGGCACCTCCCCCTATGGTACATGCCATCAATACCAATGTCATAAAGTCTTTCTTTTCATCAACATACTTTTTTTTTTTTTTGTAGTCTGGAGTCCCCAAAGCTGGGGCTGACAATCAAATTAATCAAGGCATCCTCTGCCTTGGGCCTCCAGGTCAGTCTGTGTGTCAGTCCCAGTCCAATCATCAAATCCACTAAAGGCTGAGATCTCTGCACATAATCTTGGATCCAGGGCCTACTATAGCCAATCATGCTCAGGATTGAAAGCAATTGCTATTTGTTTTCTGGCTTGGGCATCACTTGTATAGAGGCCACTTGTTTCAGTTCTGGAGATCGTCCGTTTCTCGGCAACACAGTCTCAGGTACTTTACACTCTGTGACACCAGCTGCAGCTTTTCTTTTGTGGCTCTATGCCCATTTCCTGCCAAGAACATTAACAAAGCTCTGGTTCAGGAACACAGAAGAAGATCCTCCACTTACAGCACAAACACACTACACTCACGCACAAACACACTCCCTCAGGCTAGAACCCTTCCAGGTTCCTGGCCACTTCCTGTCCATATACACTGGGAGCCTCCAAGTATCCCTGCAGCATCATAGTCCAGGTCCATCCCTTTCCAAAGAACATGAAAGCAAACCAGTTTGCTTTCATGGGTGATAGTTTGGGTGTACAGGAATGGATGTGTTTGCTGTAGGTCAACAACTGAAAATAACTTATCCTCAGCTGGAATTGAGGCCAGTATTGTCACTGGGTTAGACACAATGGGGGCCCAAGGGTATATACAGTAGCTGTATTAACACACAGCAGGTCTTGCACAAACCCCCAAGTCCCATTCATCTTTTTTACTGGTAGGATAGGAGAATTGACAAGAGAATAGGCTATTTCCTTAATAGTGCCCTCTTTTTACCCACCTGCATGTACTTCACTAATCCCTTTCTCAACATCTCTAGATAAAGGATACTGGACTTTGTGGGGTTGGAAGTGAGACTTGGGGTGGACCACCAAAGACTTTGCAGAGACTCCTCTTCCAAAATGGCTTGCAAAGCTATCATATTTCAGCATATATAGTCGGGAATATATATATTTATTCTAAGTGGCTTAACTAGGAGCTATTGGAGATGTTGATTTTATTTATCGTCCACAAGAGGGGCGCCGTAAGGGGGAGGAAAGCTAGGACGATTCCAAGGGCCCCTGAGTGACAGGGGCCCTAAAAAATTAGGGAGATAACTGGATTGGTTTGGACTGGGGGCCTAATATGATATGCTTTCATGGGGCCCAAAATCTCTAGCAACGCCCCTGGTCCACAATACTGTTTTATTGTAACACCAAAAGAAAAACAATAGATATTAAGTAAAGAACAAATCTTTCAAGTCCATTATCAGAATTAGGCACGTACTGTAATTGAAAGGACATTTGGATTTTGCTGAAAATGCGTTTCAGGTGGAACACTACTCAGAAGGTTGCAGCATTCTTTGTGGCATTCTAATGGATGTCTGTTGGACATAAATGAGGACACATTAGAGGACTTCAGAAGGTGTGCTGCAAAGGAGTGGATCAGCTGGCAGATGAACTGAATTGTCTGTAGCCAGGTAAGGAATCTAAATTGTCAGAGTAGAAAAATAACAGCCCTATTGCCTTTTATTTAAATATTTTAAAACACTTTAAAAACTGTGGGTTGTGTTTTGTTTGAATAAAGATGACACTTTTATTTATATTTTGTGAACTGCAGACCCAAAATTAAAATAAAAAAACACGCATAATTAAATCCCCATTTCCAGCCGCTGCTCTGCTCTGTATCCATAGGCGATGTGATCTCCGGTGTTTCCAATGAGGGACCAGGCCCATCCCTAACTTTGATCCAGAACAGAAGTAACGCTAAGTCCTTCCATCTCTAGTCAGTATCCCTTCATTTAAAACAGCCAAGGTGAACTCAGTTGCCCCATGTTTGGAGCCAAATCGTCAATGTATAAAACATGTGTTTTGTGCCTTCATGATTTTGTAATTATTCTACTTTGCTTTAGTTTCCTAGTGTCAAATGGTTTCCTAGTTTGTCCGTTAACTTTTTAGTTCAGTGATCGTCTTTGTTATTAGTTCGACTTGTCGCCCGTTTTCCTGTGCCAGTACTTGATTATTGTCGTGCCTTTTCTCTCTGCTGATTGGTTGTTTTTGCATCATGTGCCACACCTGCCCCCTCGTTAGCCCAGTTGTCTGTTTTTTAGTGCCTGCCTGTGTTCTTTCCCTCAGTTGGCCACAGTGAGAAGATACTGTGTGTTAATTATTGTGTGTTGTATCCTGCCTGTTACTTAGTCCTGTTCCTGTGGTTGCCTTGTACCATTAGCTGGTGTATGTATGGTCCTGTTAGATATTTTCCCCTGTTTAGTTCTAACCCCTCGTGGTCCTTTTGTTTTGTAGTTTATCCCAGTTCGTTCTTTAACCCCCCTTGTTGTCTCAGTCGTAAGTGGATCATCACCACCTTTTCCCGCCCGCACCATGCCCCTGTCCATAACACCTCTTCAGAAATAACTTACAAGAATAAGGTATGGAAAATTTCCCGAGCTTCAGGATGAGCAAGGCCAGTTCCTCACCCTTCAGTAAACACCATTAGTATGTAAATTGGCACTCCTGGTCCAGCAGTAGTGAGTCATTTCACTTATCAGGAAGTATCGTTCACATAGACATACACAAGCAGAGTTGTAGTTCAACAGACTCATGAAAAGCACTGCTATTAATAAACGTTTCGGGTAAGTAGTGCACAGGGCCACAGTTGAAAGGCACTAGACGAGCACTTGGAGGCTCTTCAGAAAATTTCATTATTTGCA